TGTAGGGGTGCTTAATACCTGCCCTACACGTAACCGAATCCCGAATCCAATTCTGGTTACCAAGGCCATTAATGGATATTTAAAAAACCTTTTCTTTTTCTAATGTTTTGAGTAAAACATTGGTGGCGACTCCATGAACTCATTTTTCAAAATCATTAATTAAGGATTAGTCTAGTGCCGGACATTCCTTAATTGATGAGATCTTTAAAAGGATGTCTAAACCATAGGTCGGAAGATTGGAAATTTTCAGGTTGCGAAACCCGTGTCATGTGGACATACCTTATGAAAAATAAATCAGAAGTTTTCCAAATATTTGTTAATTTTTTCCGTCTTGTCCAAAATCAATTTGGAAAAAATATCAAAAGAATCGGGTCTAATATTGGTACTGAATATGTGAATCATGAATTTCTTAATTTTTTGTCTCATAATGGTATTGTTCATGAACTAACTAGAGCTCTTCTTTTTCAAATGTCTGCTCCAAAAAATTATTGGGGAGAAACTGTATTAACTGCCACGTATCTCATCAACAAGTTACCCACCCGTATCTTAAATGACATTAGTCCTATAGAATCTCTATTGTCTTTTGTTCCCTCTTCACCCCTAGTATCGAGTCTACCTAGTCGAGTCTTTGGATTTACTGTTTTTGTTCACCCTCAGTTTCCTAAAAACTCACATATGGTATTACAAACGAAGACATCAATGTAAAGCAAGATACAATATAACATAAAACTGATACCAACCTCACCATAACCAACACTTCCATCTTCAAGAACTAAAGATAAAATAAATCCTTCTCTATAGAACTCCTTACAACTATCACCAACAGATGCTGATGTTGGTGGAGCAACAAGTGCAATTCTGCCACAAAATCATACATCCAATCCAAGGAAAAGAATCAAAAGAAAGGAAGACTGATATTAAGCCCCAAATAAATTCATGATTAGAATCTCTATAAAAAGTGAAAACTCACCTATATTTAGAACACTGTATTTTACAGATTTTGTATAAACAGAACTCGTCCTTTATAGAGCCCTTACTAAAAATCCACGAGAGGAATCTCATGGTGTGTTGAGCAGTTTGTAGTGCATATTGTTTCAAAATGCTGAATCAAGACAGAGGTGTTGGCAACGAGGTTTATCCATTAAATCAACAAAATATTCAATAAGCAAAATGCCGATATAAACCTGTGGAAACTGGCATTGGCATCAATAGAACTCTCAATTTCGACCACATAGTCCATCTGTTCATGTTGAGCTACCCACAAAGCTTCTTTTAGTTCTGCTTTTGTCTTCACATGTAAATGTTTGATTCTGCAAGTATATATTGATTTTTTTTTTCCTTAGGAAAAGGTAGGATGGTATACCATGGACTGTGAATATCAAAATGAAAAAAATACATAATGAATGTCTGTAAATATAGATAGATAGATTACAAGATTATTTTATTAGAGAGAACCATCCCATTTAACTATGTATTCTAGGGCTAGTCATCTATTCAGCTGTATACATAACTTTTACCTTTCCTAATAAATAGAGGCTCAACTCATTTTACAATCTATTTTTTCACATTTCTATAAAACTCAGAATTCTCTCTCTATACTTTGTCTCTCTACTAGCATATTTTCAAATAATCTTCATTTTATGAACTTTGACATGGTATCAAAGCAACTTTGTTCCTTGGGGTAGGATGAACTCACCACACAATCCCCTTGTCTCGCCAAAAAAAGGCATTCAAATGTATTCTGGATCAATAACTATGATATTCCTATAGAAGAACAATTGGCTGACATTCTAACTAAATCTATCTTCACTCAAAGATGAATCACTCAGACAGGCTGGAAATCTGGGATTTCTTCTCCCATGCTCCCGTCCATCTAATTCCTAGAGAAAATATTAAAGAGAACCAGCCCATATAACTATGAATGCTACGGTTAGTTGTTTATTCAGCTGCATATGACATAGCTTTTGCCTTTTTCTATTTAGATTTCAGTTGTCACTAACACACCAGTTGCAACGGTCATCAGTTTGCCTACAGTTGTAGGCGACAGCTTTTCTAACCCTCTATAAATAGAAACTCAGTTTTGTCAGAATTTTTGTTTAGCTATCTTTCATTGATCATGATGTCATTTATAAATATTACTGTCGTAAATATCCTAGATAATTAAGAGATAAAAAATATCTCTAAATATCTTTAGATATTTGTTTCCCAATTTCTTTGTCATTGTTATTTCCTTTTTTAAACAGTCATTCACCCTATAAAAAGGGAGATTACGGAATATACAAAATCACAATTAATATACAATTTCTTATTTTTTTAAATTGGTATTATAGCTCTTGATACTGGCAGTTCTGTTTCTGCTGCACAATACCGACATTATTGTCCATCATCATTGTCAACTACAGGCTAGTGGTTGGACCATGACATTAAACTTTCCATTGCCGGCCAAACATTAAAAAATTATGTTCATTAGTACCTTTCACTTGGTACAGTTCAACGCAGTACTAGTTATGATTACTATTTACTATTCATTGGGGTACTGTCCACAAGCCATGTTCATCGTCGTGATGTGCACACGCACTATTTGTCAAGCACTGTTTGTCATGGTTTGTGTTAAGATAATTCTATAAGATATAGTTTAGATATACTAGTTTATCTTCTCCTATTTTCTAGTTTAGTTTCCTTAGTCAATTTTATCTAAATCCCTAAACTTTAGGGATTGATTATGTTTTATGCCTATTTATTTTATTGTACCTATTCAGATTCAATAATAAGAAATTATTCATATTCAAGTTGGTACCAGAGCTCTCTGGTCCAGGAACCCTAATCCAGCCGCCAACATCTAGGGTTTTCGAGTTTTGTTCGCGGTTGCCGGAGTTGACACCGCTTGCACACTCAGAGGTCACCGATCGGCCTCTCCGTCGAGAGCCACCGTCATCCGCCGTCTCACGCGCTCTCACGCGCGGTTCTTGTTGAGGAAGCTCGCCGGCGCGTGGGCTTCACGCGCCGCCCTCCCAGCCTCCGTTTGCGACGCGGTTCACTCCGTTGGACTCGCCGGCCCTCCCTCTTCTCGTTTTGACCCTTTTCAGGTTGTGGGTCACACTCTAGGTGATCTGTTGGTGGTCGTTTGGTTGCGGCCTCGGAGTTCCGTGGTCATTTGGTTGTTGTCTCGGAGTTTCGTGGTCGTTTGGTTGCTGACTCAGAGTTCCGTGGTTGATTGGTTGCTACCTCGGTGTTCCATGGTTGATTGTTTGCTGTTTCTGTGGCTTTTTGATTGAGGTTTTCTTTTGTTGTTGTTTCTCCTTTTTTTTTTCTCTTCATGGCTCAATCTCGAACTTCGGCTCTAGAACTCAAGATTGAATCTGAGGGCAATCATCTAATCTCATTATCTACCAATGATTACAAAGAGTATCTTCAACTGAAGGCAGCGCAACAAGCCTCTTCCTCTGTCACTGTTGCTCACACTGGTAATTCTACCGTCTGTCTCTCTCACTCTACGTCTATTGGACCTTGGGTTTTGGACTCTGGTGCTTCTGATCACCTAACTGGTAATGTCTCCCTTTTCCATAGCCTATCATCACCTAAAACTCCACATCATATCACTCTTGCAGATGGGTCAAAAGTCCAAGCCACTGGTATTGGCCAAATATCACCTACCCCTTCACTACCATTAAAATCTGTTTTACTAGTTCCTGGATGTCCTTTTAATTTGATTTCTATAAGTAAGTTGACTCGGTCACTAAATTGTGCCATAACCTTCACTTCTGATTCTTTCTTGATACAGGACCGGAGTACGGGACAGACGATTGGAGTCGGATATGAATCACATGGTCTCTACTACCTTCAGTCTTCTACCTCTACCATATGTGCATCTGTTGAGTCTCCTAGTTTAATTCATCGTCGCCTGGGTCATCCAAGCTTGAATAAATTAAAGAAAATGGTACCTCATCTCTCACGCTTGGAATCCTTAGTGTGAGTCATGTCAATTAGGGAAGCATGTTAGAACTTCTTTTCCTAAGAGTATTAATAGTCGAGTTGTGTCTCCCTTTGATGTCATTCATTCTGATGTTTGGGGCCCTAGTCGAGTTCCTTCTCTTTTAGGGCATAGGTATTACGTCACCTTTATTGATGATTTTTCTAGATGTACTTGGATATTTTTGATGAAAAATCGTTCTGAGTTATTCAATATTTTTCAAAGTTTCTATTCGGAGATCAAAACTCAATTTGACAGAGTAATTCGGATTTTACGAAGTGACAATGCTAAAGAATATTTTTCAGATTGCTTCACATCATTTATTATGACTTCCCATGGCATTCTACATCAATCTAGTTGCCCTCATACACCTCAACAAAATGGTGTAGCTAAGCGAAAACATAGACATATTGTGGACACTGCTCGTACTCTTTTATTGAATGCCAATGCACCTCCAAAGTTGTGGGGAGATGTTGTCCTCACTGCAGGGTATCTAATAAATCGAATGCCATCGTCTGTCTTGAATGATCAAGTACCTCATTCCCTATTATACCCATTGGATCCCATTTACTCTGTTCATCCTCGTGTCTTTGGTTGTACTTGTTTTGTCCATGATCTTTTCTCAGGACGTGCTAAGTTGTTTGCCAGGGCTATCAAATGTGTGTTCTTAGGATACTCCCGTGTTCAAAAGGGGTACCGCTGTTACTCTCCAGCTACACATCGATTTTACACTAGTACAAATGTCACTTTCTTTGAAAATACACCATATTTCGTTGCTACAGATGTCTCTTCGGTTGACTCAGATCTCCTTTGTCAAGTATTGCCTATTCCTCATTTTGATCCCGGTGTGCCTTCTACACCTACTACTTTAGAGGCACTAGAGATTCCTAGCACACCACCAGGGTTTGATCGTCCTCTACACCGATTTGGGATAACCTATGAGCGTCGGTCACATACTATTGTTCCTCCCAGTACTTCTACAACTGAGTCATGTGATTCTGCCCCTGCTCCAGTCTCCTTACCTACTCCGGCCCCACCTACCTCAGTTGACTTGCCCATTGCTCTTCGTAAAGGTAGTCGTTCTACTTGTAATCCTCATCCTATTTATAACTTTCTTTCATATCATCGTTTGTCTCCTACCTATTATGCTTTTGTCTCTGCTATTTCCTCTATTACCATTCCCAAGACAGTACAGGAGGCCTTAACCCATCCAGGATGGCGACAAGCAATGATTGATGAGATGACAGCTTTAGACTCCAACCACACTTGGATACTTGTCCCACCTCCGCCTGGAAAATCTGTTGTTGGTTGTCGGTGGGTATTTAATGTTAAAGTGGGCCCTGATGGACAGGTGGATAGATTGAAAGCTCGTCTTGTGGCTAAGGGATACACGCAAGTATATGGTTTGGATTACAGCGACACCTTCTCTCCAGTTGCGAAGATGGCCTCAGTTCGTCTCTTCTTAGCTATGGCTGCTATGAGGCATTGGCCTTTGTTTCAATTAGACATCAAAAATGCCTTCTTACATGGTGATTTGGAGGAGGAGATTTATATGGATCAACCTCCTGGGTTTGTTGCTCAAGGGGGGTCTGGTCTTGTATGTAAATTACAAAAGTCCTTGTATGGCCTCAAACAATCACCTCGTGCTTGGTTTGGTCGGTTTAGCAAAGTTATACAGGAATTTGGAATGATCCGCTGCGAGACAGACCACTCTGTCTTCTTTAGACGCTCATCGACACATAGATTTATCTATCTTGTTGTTTATGTAGATGATATTGTGATTACAGGTGATGATCAGGAGGGCATCAAGGCTCTGAAGCAACACTTATTTAAACACTTTCAAACTAAGGATTTAGGTCCCCTACGTTATTTCCTCGGGATTGAGGTCGCTCAGTCAAAGTCCGGTATTGCTATTTCTCAGAGAAAATATGCCCTTGATATTCTAGAAGAGACCGGACTTACAGATTGTAAGCCAGTTGACACTCCCATGGATCCTAATGTGAAGCTTATGCCTAATCAGGGGGAGCCTTATCCTGACCCAGGGAGATATCGGAGATTAGTGGGCAAATTGAATTATCTCACCATGACCAGACCTGATATATCCTTTCCTGTCAGTGTTGTAAGTCAGTTTCTTAACTCTCCCTGTGAGAGTCATTGGCTTGCAGTTGTTCGAATCCTTAGATACATCAAAAGATCACCAGGAAAAGGACTTGTTTACAATGATAGAGGACATACAAACATTGTTGGATATTCAGATGCAGATTGGGCAGGTGATGCAAGTGATAGGCGGTCAACATCAGGCTATTGTGTCTTCATGGGTGGTAATCTTGTCTCATGGAA